TGTAAAATTTTGTTGCCGTCGTCTTCGCAGCCTGGCCATAAAACTTTTATAGTAAAAAGTAAATGCCACAAATGAGCAATCGAAAATTTCGCATTATAATGCAAACTGTGTGCATTTTTCGGGTTATTGTAGTCTACTTTCAGCCAAAAGACAATTGCATACCAAGGCATTCGAGTTGTTGTAGTTGCCGTTATGGTTGTCGTCGTCGTCGGCAGTCGGCAGTTGTCATGAGAGCGCCATGCCTTTGTGAGCTCTGAGGCTGTGAGCTTGGCATTCATTTGCTCCATCGTCTAACTAACCCATCCACCTACCCATCTACTTGCCTCCTTGTCCTGGTGCTGCCATCCTCTATTAATAATAATAGAATTTTTGGAAATTTTCGCAAAAGCAAAAAGGAAGAGGAAGCTGCTTTTTGCGCTCATTCGCGATTTTTGCATTTTACGTTGACGCCGACAACGACAAAGACAACTACAACGACAAGGAGCGATTCGCTGGGTTAGGAAACCAAAGAATGTCCCTCATCCCCCCCTTAAGCTTAGCTTCTCGACTGTGTTGCATAATTTAGCCTCGACTTCTGCTGCTGCTACTACTGCTTGACAATAATACTAATAATAATGATAATGATTACAAGTATAATAGTACACAAAATATGCATTTCTAGGCTGAATTCATGAGCATACCAGCCGTTTGTCTATTGAACTTGGGATAATTTTTGCATCATGCCTAATGAAGTTCAGTTGTAATATCATCAAACAACTATATAATGCAAATTGTAACAATTCTGTTTTGATAATAAAGACTAGTAGGGAGGAAGCCAACTACGGGTATGACTAACTATGAAGCTGTTTAGAAGAAGGTAACGAATACTGAGAGAACACTAAGAGAAGCCTTTTAAATACCCAATCGAGAGTTGAACCTGTAACCTTTTGAAAAGAGACCACCAGGATATTATTATGAATAATGAGAAAAACATGGACATGTTTGTTTTTTGTAACCTTGAACTTTTCGTTGTATTTTCAAATCTACACTTGTTCCGACACCAACAATTAATAATAAGCTGGCCTATCTTAATTTTCTTTCGGTTAAGTTGCGCGAAATCGATGTCGCTTGATTTTCCGATTCTACACAATTCAATTTGTGAGAGAGAAAGTTCCGTTTCCTAAAAAGAAACTTAATACCCAACATATACTATTAATTTTAAATAAAGTAACTCTAGAAGATTTTCTTTTCTTTCTCTCTCTCTCTCGCTTCCTGTGCCTCTCTTTGTCTTTGTTTATATCTGGCTATTTTTTGCTTTGTGTCCAAAGAACGAGTGAATATATTTTCATAGACGGGTTATCAAAAAAAAAATTAAAAATATAAATCTCGAAACAATCGGCTTACAAATCTTGAGAATCCATGTCTGCTGTCTCTAATTTCTATCTGAACGTTTTAATACTCTCAACATACCCACACATGTAGATACTTATGTCAGGACATTTAAGTTTTTAGTCAATATATTTACATAATAGCTTCAGCTTATCAGGCTGCAGCTTGCTTGCCTGCCATTGCTCTGCTTACCCAAAATCTATAACTTGGCAGAGCTACCGACAAAGATGAGGAAGGAACACAGGTAGATTATGCGACAACATCGTCAGCGTGTGCCGCACTGCCCGCCCTCTCTGTTTTGGTTATATTAAAACCATTTTTCGCTTATTACCAAAAAATTTAAATATTTTGAAAATAATAAACTGCGGGTGAGTTACTAAGTGGCAGTAGCATCAGCCGTCGTTGCCGTTGCCGTTGCCGCTGAACGCGAAGCCCAAAAAAAGCAAACAATGTTGCTGCCCGTTCTGCCTGTGGGTTAAACTCATCATCGTACTCAACGTCGTCATCGGCATCGTCATCGTCATTGCTATCAAATGATGCTAAGCAGGCGTCGGCCCACCTTTAACCCAACCGCGACGGGGGTTGGCACTTGGGCTATTACTAATCCTCCAACCAGAAACCAAACCAACCAAATACCAGCGACGATGGCGATGGCGATGGCGACGCTTGCTGTGAGAGCGGCTTTATCAGCGCTGCTCCATCGCCGACGCGCGTGTTGATTGTCGCGTCAGTTACGGGCAGCGTTTACAGTCGAACATCTCTATGACAAATAATTTACAAGATATTTCATCAAAAGTATTTCACATTCGTCTAACTATAGTAAAGCTATAGAATATTTCAGGTGAAGAGAAAATTATAATTCTTATGTTTGGATTCCGCTTAGGAATTCTTCCTCGACTTCATTTATTTTTATTTTTTGGAAACCTTTAATTTTATTTAATTATATTTTTGTCATGATGTCGTCTTGATTCGAAATGTTCCTTGAGCTATGACAGGCCTCTGACGTCATTCATAAATTAGAAAATTTACTCTAATCAATTCGTAAGTAAGTAAGATAATTTTATTTCGGATCCTCTTTCTATTGATAAATCAACTTTCATTTTATATGTACGATTAATTTTTAGATCTTCGAGATGATATATAGTAAGTAGCGCATCATAAAAAATCGAAAAGATTATTATTTAGAAAAATAATATTTTACAAAGTGTGTCAATTACTCGATTGTTCCGATGACAGCTATATAAAATAAAGAAGCCCTGAATACTCTGTCCTTTATACCAATTTATTCATTATTTATTCCTTCCTACAACAGTTCCAAAATCTGAATCTTTCTACGTCGCCTTGTGAGGGTACAGGGTATTATTAATCTTCCGTGTTTATTATGTGGAAGCTATACTGTAATAATGAGCATGATGCGTTCGCTAGCTGGCGAATGTGGTTGAATGGCTGGCTGTCTCCCATAGTGTCATATTTTTTATGATTTTTATGTTAATTCATAACCAGCCGCTGTCGGGCGCTGCGCCATTGCCTCATCTGCGAAATGCTTTTTAATCCTTTTAATGAAAATTAGTTCCTCTCAATATCATTTAATATATTTTCGGTTGGGTTTTGTGGCGTTTGTTCATTCGTTCCTTGTTCGTTCGTTCTGCGTGTGTTGTTTTCATAGGCATTATCATAATTTCTGTTTTCAACCCTAAATCAACAAAAACACTTGCCCGCTCTGCAGCAAGCCGGGCACCCCATCCTGTTTGTCCTTTGCTCGCTGCTGTTGGCCTTACAAGCTTGATAAAGGCTTAAAGCCTGGCAAGACATTGCCACTGTCCGTACGTCTGTCCGTGTCTGTTTCGCATGCATATTCATCTACATACATACATACATACACACACATACATACTCGTACATACACACTATACTCGTATATCAAGCGCTTCTGCCTTTGTCTTTGTCTCTGTCTCTGACTCTGACCTTTCGCGTTCAACGTTCGCCGTTTGATTTTCTATGCAGCGCTAAATGGCATCCCCATCGTCGTCGTGGTCCTCGGAACGCGCTTCTTTGCTAAATTGAAAACCCAAAAGCTATAAAAATTAATGTGCGTAGCGAAGGTGTTGCCATATATCTTGCCCAGTTGCCAGAACATTACCGGGCAGCTGGCAAACTTAAAATACAGCGGCAATCCAGCAGCAGCATTAATGAATTGGATATGTTCAATAAATTTCAATTTTAAACTATCACTAAATCAACAAACTTCTCACCAACAACCTATGCTGAATGCGTTCATAGCTTAAGCACAATTCTATCTTACGAGTATATATTTTGTACAGTATAGTATGTTACATACTCTTATAATAGGTATATTTATTATGAGCAATCAAATAGAATAGAGATCATGCATATAAATAGATCTGTAATTTCTCCTCTTTGACTTTTTCTAATATCCCAATAACCAACTACCAAATGCGGGTGGGGAGACAACATTCACGTATATTTATTAAAAGCAACCGAATAGAGAGAGAGAGAGAGAGAGAGAGGCCCTGCCCGGTGCCTAGTTGCCTAGCCCAAAAGTTCTAGAGAATGAGTAGAAGAAAGTAGCTTTCTTCCCTGCTCAATCGCTTTGTAGCCCTCAACAAGACTCATATCACTCATCTGTTGAACTTTTGACCATCAATAGGTATTTTAAGTTTTTGCCGATCGCATTTCCCACAGCAAATTTTTAATTAATTGAATGCAGTTTGGGACGCCTACGAACAACAAATAAACTATGCTTTCTGCATACATGCAATATATTAAATTATTAAACAAACTGAAGAAGCAGGCTTGGGACTCTTCAAACGATAAATAAGCTATGCCTTCTATATGCAAAATATTGAATTAGATAAAAATTGAAGAAGCAGAGAGGCTATTGAACATTTCCCACAGCAACTTTTTAAGTAATTTAATGCGGCTTTGGCCGCCTACGAACGACAAATAAACTATGCTTTCTACATACATGCAAAATATTCAATTAGATAACAAATTGAAGAAGAGGCTGTTGAACATTTCTAACTCTAATATTCCAAATCTCAACTAAATCCAAATCTTCAATCACCATTTCCTCAAATCCTTTAAAGAGAGCTATTTATTATAGTCCGGACTCTATCGAAATATCCATATCGGATGAATCTTTATGAGAGCAACCACTAGAAAGCTCCCCTTTCGCCTTGCTCCTCTTTGGAGTGGGAGGTCGAAACCAAATTCGCTTTTGCAACCGAAAATGTGCTTTTAATAGCGTCAGCTGAGCCAGCTGTGCGATAGCTGCCATACTCGACCATCCCCCCTCTCCTCCCCTCACCCAGCACACGTTGTCACCCACACTTTCGTCAAAGCATCGCATTGCTTCGCATAAAAGTATGCTAAATTATACGCATTTCATAAGCAATTTCGCAGTTTATGGCCACGGTTATGACATCGCCAGCATCGCTGTTGTTGGCCAAACCTGCTGATATCGGGTAATTTGGAAATGCGCGAACACTGCTCAAGCTACCTGGAGAATGCCTTCGATTAGCATGGAAATGTGCACCCCATGCAAATGACAGTAAAACCAACAGCAACAGTAACAGCAACAGCAACAGCAACAACAGAAAACAACGTTGGCATTTCAATTTTTGAGTGTACTAACAATTTATATTTGAATTTAGAGTTTCGTCTGGTGTTCCCACGTTCTGTCTTTCTTTTCGGATGTGTTTGGCAAAACTTGTCAATTTGGATTGAGTGTGTGACGGATAAGTTATGGACAGCCACAACGTCCTTCATTTACGGCCAGCTATGTAGCTTCATTACTCCTTGTCTTCTGAGGTACGAGCCCGACTCTGCCATTGCATCTCCCGTCTCGCTGCGCTGGCCTTCTGGGCGGAGAGTTGTGCGGGATCGAGGCGACGTCGTGGATGCGGCTTAGACTGTTGAGCGGCCCCCGAGCCGTCAGCTTGAGTTGTCGCTTCAGCTTTGGCCGCCTCCTGTGCCGCCCTTGCCTTGACGGCTGCCTCTTTAGCTGCCACTTTGACAGCCTTCTCCCAGTCCTTTCCCAACACATCGCGGGTACGCTGATCTAGGCTTCGCATGAATTGCTTGCGTAATGACTCCGGCTCCACATGTTCAAAATTTGGCTTATAGCGCGTCGGATCGCGGGGATTCAACCAAAAGGAGTCCTTATTCTTATTTACCCTCCACATGTTCTCCTCCCGTGTAAAGCGACGCGGCATATTAGAATCCGCTTTGACGTACGCGATTGCCGATTGGGACTTCTCCCGCGGGGCTGGTGCACCAAAGGCAGAAGGTGCCTCAATTTCTGATGCATGCTTCGTCTGTTGTTTCGACTGTGGAGGCTCCTTTTGGCGCGACATATCCCGTTCGGCTGTGCTGCCCCTTCGTGGCGCCGGAGCGCCAGGCCATCTCGTCGACGACGATGAAGACGAGGAAGCCAAGCGTGCTCTTCCAATACCACCGATGCTGGCGTTGTTACCAAAGACTGCTGTCAACAGCACTTGCTTGGCGTACGGTTGCTTCCAAAGCCGGTAGTTGAGGGGCGTCGAGGTGCGTTGCATGATTCCAGAAATAACTAATAACACGAAAGAAAGGACATCACAGTGCTCACCTGCTTCTCCTTGTCCTTAATCGTTCTTTACTTACCCTTGGAGAGTTTTTTAATGAAAAAATTCCGAAACAGAAAATTTTGATACAAATCAGTTTTTTATTTTAGATAGTGCTCCGTAGGCTCCGTAGTGTAGAATGAGTTAAACAATATATGTTTCGACCATATCTAAAAACGTTAAAATCAATGCCTACTTTTTCCAGAAATTTGTAAAATCTTTTAGCTCAGGAAGAATATGCCCATAATTAGAGGAAAAACAGAAAAGGATGTATGAAATCATTGAAGAACCATGGCAATAATCAGATATTGTACTCTTCAGAATACAGGGTGACAGCGAAGCTTTAAGGCAACTACAGTGAAAACTCTCTTGGCCGGACACTCATGGGAGGATAAAAATTGGCCCTGGGAGTGTCCACTTAAGGGGACACTTAAATACTTTGTACACCGATCGAATGTTTTAGAAAAAGTATCCGCCGAAAAGAGAGGGAGTTTTCACTGCATATAAGGCGACTAGGTGACTTTTACACTCGTTGTATATACTATACATATGTAAATATATTACTGAATATTATTGGATCTAACAGTCAAATATTTGAATTCTAATGCCCAATACTTAAATAAATAGAAACACAAACAAAATAAATAAAATAATATAAATGAAATTTATGAAATGAGTAAAATAAATAAAATTATATTCTTTTTTTAATTATATAAACATGTAAAGACTTAACAAACAAAATAAATTTAAGTTTAATGAAATTTCTGAAATGAACAAAATAAAAACTTTAATACAATAAAAATTTCAAAACTAAGCCGTACTCGCACAAAATAAATAATAAATATAAATTAAATAGATAAAAAAAAAATAGATAAAACTTTAAAAATATATAAAATATTTTATTTAATTAAATAAAAATGTAAAAAATAAACCGCACACGTTTCCTAAACAGACAAGCAAAATAAATAACATAAATAAAAATAAACAAAATTTGAAAAATAAATAAAATAGTTTTATTTAATGAAATAAAAAGTTAAAGCAGGAACCCCTCACTTTTCACATCCAACAATTTAGACCTGGCTCAGGGAAATAGAAGTCAAGTCAAATCAAGTTAGATATACTTTAGCGCAATACTTTATTTATAATAATTATTGCATCGATCTATTCGCTGTTATATAATCCCTGCGCCAACCACTGAATAACAAAGGCAACAGCAACGACACAATGTAACTTTCTACACTTCCTTTGCCAGCGATTATTTCATACAACGAATTTCTATGTGCTCGTATTTATGTACATGAATGTAGTAGAATACATATACTACATATGCATACATACGAGTACATATGTATAATTATGTGACCGCCTTGAAGCAATTACAATTGCTGCTCTCATCCGTTGCAGTCCGGGTCATCAACATTAACTGCCTGGGCCGAGGTGGCGGCGGCACTTGTTGTTGTTGTTGTTGTTGTTGTTCTGCGGCGGCAACCTAAACGTTAACACTTGAACTCTTTTTGATTTCGCACACAAGCATGTGCATGTGTGTGTGTGTATGTGTATGTGTGTGTGCCGCACAATGGCACAATTATGTTAAATATCGACAAGTGCCGTCTTCAGGCAGCGACTGCTTTTGTTGTTGCTGCTGCTGCTGCTGTTGAGCTTCATACAACAAATATTAACGACGAATGGTATTAAATACTCGAAGGAAAACAATCGAAACGAATGGCAGCCCTTTCCACAACACACACACACACGCATATTTAAACGTCCTCACAATGCAGGTTGAGTGCTCCATAATTGTTATTGTTGTTGTTGTTTTTTATGGTTGCTTCTTGTGCTTGAGGTCTCCACGTTCGTCCAACTGGGTGAAGTAGTTTTGCGCACGGAATTTCCATACTTCAACACACTCCTCTTACGAGTAGAAATGCAAATGTGTTGATACTGAAACAATCGCACATAGATCTCAAAAATGATCCATACTCGTATGTTTATTTCAAGCAAGTTGGAAAGGAACTCCAAAAGGCTCTTCTTCCAAGGTGAATTGCTGAAGGGTTTTGGATCTCTACTTTAAAGAAGTCAAATAGAAATAGCAACAAAGTGATTCGACCCGACAGGTCCTACTCATAGTTAGAAGTTTCCATTTTCTGTACACTTTAATATTCTTCTGTTTTAAAAACTTTCGAGGCGACGTTGTTAGTCCAGCGTCGTGTTCGATATAAGGTTTTTCTGTAATAGTATTTCACATAGAATCTACTTAGTTGGCGAATTTCCGATTTATTCAACAGAAGAAACTAACAGTGGACGCTAAATGGTACTTAAACACCAGTATTCGTATTATTATATATAGTTGTAGTATATATATAGTAGTATATCTCAATCTGATATCTGAGCAACACTAAATACATATATTGTTCAATTATATTCAATATTGTGGTGTTAGTAGCTTTAAGGATCAAAAAAAGAAACAAGCATTGATTTAAATAGTTTTTTTCTCCCTGAAAGATGATAAAGTCCATTATTTTATAGCCTTACACATCTGTGCTCTCTGACTTTTGTTCTTTAGAAACTTCTCTAGAGTCTGCTTTAAGTAAAAAAACAAAATGTTTACAAATGGTGCAAACTCCTCCAAGATGTGCGAGAAGATGCCGACGACGAACCTCGCTCTGGACGCTCCAACACATCTACAACAGAAGATATCGCCGAAGCTGTGGAGAAAATTGTTTTTGAAAATCGTCGAATTCCCATCAGAGAAGTTGCTGAGGATGTTGGCACATCAGTCGGCTCGTGACATGCAATTGTTTCGAATGTTTAAGTTTGTATAATATGTCGCTTTCTGAACAACATTGGCGGACTTTTCGCTTATTCCCAGTCACAGAATATTTTTGATAATGTTAATGAAATAACTATTTTAGAGCAGATTAGGGGTATCTTACTTTTTATTGTAACTCGTTCAGCGTTCATTCTTGGCTCCATTTATTTGTTCATTCATCCGTCCATCTATCCACAACCATCTATCCATCACTCCATCCGTCCGTCCATTCGTGCGTGCAATGAAAAACGCGTTACTTAATTATGCAATCTAAATGCATTGAATCACTTCAAACAAATGACAATAATCATAATGATGGCAACGATGAGAATTCTGGAATTAGTGTGAGCTTGAAGGTTGCAAACTATTGCCCGAGGCAGAGGCAGGCCAGCAATGTGAACTCATTTGTTGTTCTTTTGCCTGCCAACCACATACACCTACACCTATACCTACACCTAGATCCATACTCATACCCATACCCACACCCATCGACGACACACACAACACAGGCAGGCAGGCAGGCAGGTGAAGTTGCCCTCAGTTACATCCATGGGATGTCAAAAAAGGACGAGAACGAGGACGACGACAAATCTTTGCAATTTATTTACGTGCCATTTCGTAGCAAAATTTGCGTTAGATTTCTTTGGCTTTTATTTTTGGTGTTGACTGCTTTTGCTTTTGCTGGCGGAATTCCAAGCAAAGGCAACAACCACAGTTATGGTGGAGGTGGCAGTGATGATGACGATGACGATGATGGCGATGGTGATGGTGATGGTGATGGTGACAACGTCTACAACTTTCGGCTGGCGGCTTACAAAAGTCATGACGCGCTGATGACGTTGGCTTCGCATTAGTGTAGCACGACAGTGGAAGGATTTAATGGCACATTAAGAATTTTATTACCGCACACAACAGTAACAGAAACACCAGCACCAACAACACCAACACCAACAATATCAACAATACCAACAACAGCAACAACCTGCCTGGCAATAAGAATCCTTAATAGTCGGTGGCATCGCTCGCACCTTGCGCGTTGGTAAAAAATTTTTCGCGCGCGTACACACAAAATTTTTGACAAGGCAGCAGCAGCAGCAGCAGCAGCAGCAGCTTTAGCTCTCAAAATGATCATAATTATTATCATAATCATTATTATCATAGTCGTAATCGTCATCGTCATCTTCGTATAGAAATCTTTCAACGTCGACAAAATTTTTTGCGCTTGCACGGATTTTCGACAGCAAATGCTGACGGCTGTCAAAAATTGGAGAAGGACAACAGGAGCCTGAGCCCGAAAAACTTAAGCCAGCGTCGTCATCATTATTACAAGTTTTGCATAAATGAATGAATGAATGAATGAGTGAATGCATGGCATGACATTTATGTATTTCATTTAGCCCAACCAGCCCCAGTCAGTCAGCGACTCATTTGTCGCCTCAAATGATGCGCAACTTTTTCAAATCTAACCATTATTGTTTGTTGAATTTTGGCGACGGTGTAGTATCCTATAAGACTCCTTCCTTCCTGCCTTCCTTTATTTGTCTTCAGCTACCGAGTGTCTGTATTTTGTTAGGTGTCAGCGAATTTCAATCTGTTAAATGCTTCCCACCCACAGCATGTTGACCACATTTTTTGGGCCTTGACTATGAACCTTAATTGAATTAATTAATGCTGAAGGTGAAAGGTATTTGGCTGTCGTCTCAGCATTTCTGGCCCATCAATTTAGCATTCAGAACTTTGTTATTTTATAGAAATGATAGTTCTTTATGTTTTTAAGCAATAATAAAGAGTTTCATTGCATAATTAAATAGGATTTAGGCAAACAGATAAGGAAGAAGAAAATTTAAATATTCATTTAAAGATTCTTTTGACGATTTGCAAAAACATTCAAGGCTACAATCAAGTATTATTGGCGAAGAACTATCAATCGTGAAGTTCAAAACATCTTAGCGATGCAATATAGAGACAATTGTGGGCCTAAAGGAGTGTAAACCTCTAAGGAATGACGACAAATAACAAATCACTACTTAAGTGTCAAAACAAAGGACCGACAGAGAATACATCCTGAAGATTGTGAGATGTTAGGAAAAAGATCATGGATTGTAGTCGCATTAAACTATGCCTTGTAAACAGAAGGACTTCAGCCTAAATTAAATGATTATCTATTACCAATTGAATAAAGGAAGCTACTCGTGACAAAATGAAGCAACGATAGATATGGAGGTTGAAAAAGGTATGGTTTTAATTCATTTGCCACGGACCATTCATTAACACTTGCAATATATTTAGAAAGATTTGAGCAAACCTTACCCATATTTAACTTGTTTATGTTCACATTAGACTTAGCC